GCGCCCAACTGCGGGCGCATGCAGCCGAAGCACGCATGCTCGCGCGCTTGCATCGCGCTGCGCCAGCGCCTCGGCCGACGCGCCCGCCAGACCCGGCTTACCGCCGTAGCAGCCGCCCTCGCGTGGAGTGGTGGCCGGCCAGCCCAGGCGACAGGGCATGCCAGGCGGTGGCAACGACTGCCGTGCTCCGGAGCTGTGCGCGAGACCAGCGCAGGCCTCAAGGGCCGCGCCATGGGCCACGCCGGCCCCCTGCGCAGGTACAGTGCCTTCGTATAATTTGGATACATTAATTGTATTCTCCGCGGGGTGCGCCTCTGGCTGAATTGATGTTAGGGGCGGCCAGTTTCCGCGATGTGAATGAGGCTTATACGGTATCGTACATTGCATTGGGAGCGTATAAATAGGCTGCAGACGGCAGGCAAAGGGCACATTCACAGCCCTCCAACCTACAATACGTGAGTGCAGATCATCTCATCTAATCTTACCTCATCCTGGCCTTCTTGAAGCCATCCTGTCCTTTTGGCACTGCAAGCTGCCTCAAGAGTTGTTGAGGGCTGCTGACCAGCTGAAGCTGCCAGGTGCGTTTGCTGGCTGCGGGCCCTGCTTTGCACAGCTAGCGCACGCACTACGTACAGCACAAGTGCACAAGTGCCAGCCCCTGCCGGCTGCTGAGAGGTGCAGCGCTGCCCCCAGCCTGTTGCTGATTACATTGTCAGTTCAAGCGCTTATGCTTCCTGCCAAACATCACCCGGCGCAGGGTGCACAGCCCCGGGTCCCCATGGATGCGCCGACTTCAAAGCAGCAGCTGCTGCAGGCGTTGCCAGAGCTGTTCCCAGGCGACGAAAACGTCAAGTTTTGCGGCGATGCGGCAGAAATAATCTACCAGAGGCCTGAGGACTGGTCTGCTGGTCTGCTGGCCCTGCCGGTTGGCCACAGGAGGGCGGCCATCCAGGCAGCTGTCCGAGGTGGGTCGGTCTTTCAGTGTCAGGGGAAACCGCTGCAGCAACCGCGGGTGTGTCTTCATGTATGCAGAAGCCCTTGAGGGTGTTAAGAGGCAGTTGTACGTGGTTGTAGCTGTGGTGCTGCTCACACAACAAGGGGTGATTACTTGCTCGGCAGCATCGCGCATCCAGAAGCCCCCTTCCTGTTTTGCGTGGGGGCCAGCCCCAGGTTGCGTTTTCCATCAACCTGTGCTGCCGCGCTCCCTTCTCCCATCCCTTCATCCTCTCTCCCCATGCTGTGCCCCATCACCTTGCTGCCCCCCCCCTTCCCTGCGCCCCCTTCCCTGCGCACCCGCTGATGACTTCTCACCATCATGTACGGCACCGAATGATATCACTGCCCAGGCGCAGCAGGAGCTCCAGGTGAGGCATACATCGCGTTATTGGGATGGAGCAGGCGCGCTGCTGTATGTGGTTGGAGGGGAAAGAATGGCCTTCGTCAGGGCGCAGGGATATGATGGTGATAAGGGCTCGACTTGCAAGCGGTACGGCTTGGCGCCCCTTGTGTCCACTTTTCGCGTGGTTGCTGACAGCTGCGTACGATCCACATCAATTCGCACACACGGGACCCATGCGGCGACGTGCGCAGGGCTGCATTTGGCTTGTTTGCCTGTGTTGTTGCTGTGGTTTCCTGCCTCGCCATCTCCCACGGCCACCGGGTCGCTGTAACAATCCTAATCCTAATCCTGATCCGCCTCCTGCGCTCCCCATTGGCGCTCAGGCGTTTCAAAAAGAGGAGCAGCAGCAGCAGGTGAGCCGTGTGGGTGGCGCATGGCAGCGTGCAGTTCCAGCTGATATCGATTGGGTGCAGTGCTTGAGAGCGGGCACTCCGGTGCAAGGCAGCGCGTGTGAGCTGCTGGCGACCTCTCTAGCAATAACAAACTGTGCAAGAGCTGTTTTGGCTGCATACACCTGTCCTTCAGGCGTTTGCGACACTCATGCCACCTTGGCCCTTGATGAAGAATTGGCCTCTCTTGCCTTACTTTATAGCAATTCACAGCTAACTGCTTCCGGCGCTCTGTTTCTGTCGCAGGCCTTGGTGAAATCATTGAGGAAGCAGTGCTGCGGGCCCTGAAGAAGAACATGCACAGTGAAGTCTCTATCACAAACTTCGGTTCAGAGCACTGGACTCGCATGTCCTTGGCTGCTGGATTGAAGAGGCGGGTGCATCCAGGCCTGGAGGTGGACGACAGCAGCTGCAAGGAGACACCACCATTTGAGTGGAGAGACGAGGCGGAGCCCCAGCAGGCAGACCGGTATGCTAGCAGCTCGAGCGCTCGAGCGGCAACTGAAGTTGGATGACTTACGACAGATCTGACTGTAGTCGTGTTGCTGCAATTGTGGTTTCCCAGCAATCTGCTTGTCAAGTGCTTGCATGAGGTCTTATCATCATACACTGTGTGCCAGGCCTGGGTCCGAGGCGTGCGTTAGCCACATGTGCTGCTGATGGCAGTACAGTACTCGTACTCCTTCCAAATGTGTGCTGAGCGTGCGGTGGCGTGCTGCTGCTGCATGGACCGCGCTCACAGGTACAGGGAGTATTTGCACCAGGCCGTCTCTGTTGGCAACAGCGCGCGCTCCACCCTGGTGTGGCTGGGGGCAGCCCCAGATGACGCGTCACTGCTGGACACCAGGGGCTACGAGGACCTGCTGCACTACAGCTGCATCACCGGCGGCGCGGACGCCGCGATCTGCATCCGCGACGCCGCGGAGTGCATGGTGCCCAAGTCGGGGCTCTGCGTGCTTTTCAGGGTGGCCAACGAGGTCAGCGAAGCGCATGAGCACCAGGCTGCTTGCCAGCTCGTCTTGGCCAACTTGGCAAGCGAGTTCAAGCCTGTCACCATCCTGACTGATTTGGCAGAGCGCTGGCAGCTCTTTTGGCTGGACGACTCGACTGTGTGGCACACCCGGCTGGCCAGCCGCCGCGCAGCAATCGCCGTCATCCAGGGCTTTGTGGCAGCAGCGGAGGCCGCCTGGTCATCAGCCACATCAGCCACGTCAGCCACAACCGCCGTGCTGCCCCAGGTGGTGGCTGATCGCAAGTCGACCTTCCTGGCCCAGCGCGTTGCTGGTGCTGTGATGACAGAGGCCGACGCCCAGCTGCTGAGTCAGGCCGACCAGCTGCCGCCTGAAGATGCACTGAAAGTGCGTGTCAGGGTCTTCTTGCGCCAGCTGTCCATGCAGCCAGCGCTGTGCGGCTTTGCGCATGGACCTGCTCCACCATGAATGGCTTGTTGGCTCAATTCATCCGGGGCCGCATGACTGTCCCCAGGGCGTGCATACTTCAGCTTGCCCACTACACGCCTTGTGCATCAGGCGCTTGCGACCTAATTTTCCATTTTTCCTTTCTATGCTTCATTATCAGTTGGGCTCAGGACTGCTGCTTGTGCTTGCTTTCGCTGCTGCTGCTGCTGCTGCTGCTGCTGCTGCTGCTGCTGCTGCTGCTGCTGCTGCTGCTGCTGCTGCTGCTGCTGCTGCTGCTGCTGCTGCTGCTACTGTGTGTGATTTGGTGGGGGGGTCATGAACCCTTGCCAAGGGTTCATGACCCCCCCCCCGGGGGTCATGAACGTGGGGGTCATGAACGTGGGGGTGACGTGGGGTCGTGATCAAGGCTGTAACATGAATGACCATGGAGATCATGTTGAAAGCGTGACAGGGGCACGGGCGTTGGGGTCATGAGTTGCAGGCTTCAACGATTATTATACCAGCAACGTCTAATCCTTGCACAGTTTCGGACGTGGGTTATGGCACGCGCGTGCCCATACACCATCAACCGCGATGCATGCATGCCGCTGCCAGGGCGCCCCTGACACCAGATCAGGGGGGCGGATGGATTGCAACTGCTAATCCACTGCAGCCGACGCCGCTGTCGTCGCCGCCGCCTCCCGAGTGGACGCCGCATGGGCTGCAGCGTGCCTCTGCGGCAGGCCAGCAGCCGCAAGCATACAATGCCTGCCAGGACAAATAAATGAACAGGCATGCAACCCTATCTGCGTCTCAATCGTCGCCCACTGGTCATGTCTCGCCGCCGCGCGGCTGTCTGCCGCCACTGATAGGGAGAACTTAGGGTTCCCTTGGTGTTATTGAGCGGGCTTGGCACTGGCGGCGGTGGTGGCAGCGGCGGCGGTGGACCCATTGCCTGCACAGCTACGTTCACGCCCCGTCTGAGCTGAGCCGCACGGCAACGGCGGCGGCGGCGCGTTTGCGCCCATGCAGCCGCTGCGCTGGCCCGCACGAAAGGAGGCCGGCGTTCCCGCAGGCAGCGACGCCCTGGCCGGCCGCCGCACCGGCAGGCGCGACCGGCTCATCTCGCGCATGGCCGAGACCGCGCGGCGCAGCGGGGGCTTGGAGCGGGCGACCAGGCGGCCGGTGATGATGAGGGCGACCGCGGCCGCCACGCTGGCGGCCAGCAGGACCCAGAGGCCCATGACATCATGGAAACCTGAGGGAAGCGGGTTTGAAGGGTTTCAAACGGGTCAGCAGCGGCGACCGGAAGTGGCGAGGTCAGCAGGGGCGGGAGGACGTTGCCGGTTGTGATGTCGATGGTGCGGCCTTGACTGTGTGCGGCGCGGCTGCGCTGCACCAAGCTGTGCCTTTACGTATGTGGTGCCGCAGTGCGGCGGGCACGGACGAGTGCATGTGCCCGTGTATGGGGCAAGGGCACTTTCCAGAGTGCCCCTGCTCACGGCGCGAGCCGCCTCGCCGGCGCCCCGGCGGGCGGGTGTTGTGCGGTACAGAGCCTGGAGCCGTCTGCTTGCCGGCGCACCAATCTGCGTGGCCTGGCCGGCCGTGTCGTGGCGCTTGCAGTACGGCTGGGGGGGGCTTGGTGTACTTCTCAAACAGCTCCTCCATCTCGCCTGTTTGGATGGAGATTGATAAGACAGATCAAAGGTTTCTTAACCCCTCGGCAACACAGCCGCTGGTGCCGCACCTGGCGTGCGTGCTTGATTGAACGAGACAGGTGCCCCAAACTGCCAGCTGGGACTTTCGCTTGCAGGCTTTCTGTGGGTGTGCGTGTGCATGCCTGCTGACGTACCTATATATGTGGCGAAATCGCGAGTCAAGGCGCCGCCTGGTATGAATGCGGCTGACGAACAGCATCCAAGGGGTGCGCACGCACTGAAAACCGCGAGTTGTGCGCCCACCTGATTCTTTGATGTCCAACAGAACGCTGTTGACCTGCCGCAGCACCTGTGTGTCGTTGAAGCCTTTTGGAAAGGCAAACGCCGCCTCGTACTGGGAGTGGTGGGGCGGCGCGGGGGCGGAGCGGCGCCAGGGGCGGAGCGCTTGCGTTGGGGCAGGTGGCGCAACAGGGTGTGTGTGTGTGCGTGCGTGCGTGTGTGCATGTGTGTGCTGACCTGGCGTCAGTTTATGACGGCGAGGAAAGGGCGATGGTGATCGCGGTGCGCCTGTCAGCTGAGCAAGCAAGCCTGGCCCAACAACATTTGGTCCACATCACGCCAAACACAGTCAGCCGAACCCTGCTATCTACACCCAAGATCGCCAACATGTTCGAAGCTCAGCAGTCGGAGGTAATGCAGAGCTGTGCTGCAGCGTGAAACTGCGGCGTGTGCTGTGGCGCTGCACATGCCGTGTGCAGCGGTTAAACCTGGTCAAACATGCCGCCGACTACGGTGACGTCACATCTGTTGTTGGCGGCGTACTCCAGCACGTAACTGTCCAGCACCAGGGCGTCCAGGGTGTGGTTGCCAACCGCATCAAACATGGCGTCCTGTTTTGAATGAGACGTTGTTGGTGTTTTGGGGCAAATTGAAAACAAGTTGTTGGTTTTGGCGGCCAGCCGGGGTGGAAGTTTGTGGGAGAAGGGGGCAGCGGGGGAGCCTGGGGTGCGGCAAGTCGCGCCAGGGTGTGGCTGCCAACTGCGTCAAAAACGGCGTCCTGTTTCATAAGAAGTTGTTTGTTAGGGGCAGATCAACTATTGGTGTCAGATTGATTGCGGAGGAGCCAGCCAGCTGGGGGAAGAGTGGGGTTTTAAGAGAGGAACGCAGCACAGATGCCTGGGGCTTTTCACAGGCGCGGACGCAGCTGGAGGCTCACGAACCCGCACGCGCAGCAAGCCAGACGCGCGCCGCGCGTCTGGCGACCCCAGCCTTCCGCACAACGTGCGCGCTGCGCGCTTGGTGTGCGGAAGGCTGGGGTCGCAGCAAGCCGACGTCGCGGCAGGCTGGGCGTGCTGCAGGTGAGCCTGGAGGGCACCTGGGCAAAGGCTGGGGTCTGCCGGCTCGGAGGGGCCGATTGCAAAGTCTGATCGGGCTCAATAAGACAAGCAGGCTTCCAGCACAAACACAAGGAGAAGCTTGCGCGACAAGCATGCCCCCCAAACCCCGCCCCCGACCAGCAGCACGTGCAAGTGAGCAACCATTGAGGCGTCACGGTGTGGAAGCCCCCATGGGCACCACTGGTGGGCAGGTACCTGCCCCCCCGCCAAACAAACCAGCAGAGTAAGTGACCCGTCATAAAGGCGTCACGGTGTGGGAGCCCCCATGGGCCCCACTTGGCCCCCTCCCAACCAGCAGAGTAAGGGACCGGCCGTAAATGCTTTATGGTGTGAGCGCCCCCATGGGCCCCACGCACCTGGTCAGCCTCGTCGTTCCAGGGCAGGGGCGTGGCCGTCACGCCGCGGCGCTTCAGGTCCCCCAGGTACTCTGCCGGCGGAGAGCCAGGGAGCGCAGCTATGCTATTTGCGAGCTCGCACTGCGTGCCGCCGTGGTCGAACACGAGCGATGCGCCTATCGCACATGTGCAGCAGGGGCCGGCTGCCTGAAACCACCCGAGGGAGCAGGCAGCAGGCTAGGTGCACGTGGGGGTGTTGCTCGCTCCCCGTTCACCCGGGTGCTGCGCAATCGGCACGCCGGGCTGGCCGAATACGACACACGTGTTTGGTTCGTTGCTTGAGTGCGTGCGGCCGCACTCAAGCAACACTCGTACTCTTGCCCAGAGCCCGCCGCGCACCTGGGTCGTCCCACGTCCCTACATTCCGGCCGGGTAGGTCACTGACGCCCTCCACCGCAGACACCAGGCGGTTGGCCGTCAGGTTGGCGGCTGTAATGGCAAAGTGGTGGTGGTGGTGGTTGCGGCGGCGGCAGCGGTTCATCATTAGGCGTGCGCTTGGAGCTGGTAGGGTCAGAGGGGGGCGGAGGGTGGGCCGATGGCTGCTTGCATGCAGTGAGCGCCTGGGTGAAAAGCTACGGGCCGAGAGGGGGAAGCAGAGCCTCCAACCCTTGACAGGCGCGAGTTGGGCACGAGCGTGCGGCTGGGAGAGGGCTGGCGGGGGTCACAGGTGCGGCGAACATACTGAGGAGAGTACCCCTGCGCGGCTGCCGATGCTGCAGCGGCGGCTGTTTTGGAGATTGCTGCCTGCAGCCCTCCAGTCATCGACCAGCGAAAGGAACCACATGGGCTCCCTGTGGCGCGCTGGCTCACACGTGGTGGCGGTGTAGAGGGACACAAGCACGAGCATGATGAAGGCAAATGACAACACGATTACGTTGCTGGCCGCGTGGCTGCCACCCATGTCGCCGGCCTGCGTCCGGGGGTGGGGGGGGGATGGCAGCCGGGCGTTGGAGCGGCGCCGCGCGGCCGAGGGCAGAGGTGCGGGTCGGACTTGCAGGCAACAAAGGGCGGGTGTGTCGCTTTGTTGCATGAAGCATGGCTGCGGCTTGAAGGCCACAATGGCCAGTGGTCTCATGCTGAGCAAGAACGTCCAGATATCCGCCAGCCCCCCATCGATGCTACGTGCAACCTGCTGATGAAACTCTGTTGATTTTTTGGCTATCATATGATGACAAGAACCTTACGCGTAAGGGCCCTGATGCAACGGGGGAATGGGTTTGCGGGACGACGAGGGGAAAGAATTTCTCACCGAGAAGTTCATGGAGTTGGCGAAGGCAGTCCAGACCTTGCGGCCGAGGGAGTTCCAGCGGAAGTCCGCGAGTGACGGCTGGCGCTGTGCGCTGGACCAGGGTTCCAGCAGCCACACGGCCACGCCCACGAACGCTGGGTGTGAGCGCGTGTGTGCGTGCGTGCGTGCGTGTGAGTATGTGGGTGGGGTGGGGGCGCGGTGTGCATGCGTGCGTGCGTGCGTGCGTGCGTGCGTGCGTGCGTGCGTGCGTGCGTGCGTGCGTGCGTGCGTGCGTGCGTGCGTGGAAGGGGTGAGGGTGGGGAGTGAGATGGAATGTGGAACGCGAGACCCCAGAAACGTGGACGCGGGGCTCTTCGAGTCGGTGAGGGCAAGGGGAATCAGCAGCTTCTTCTGGGCTTAGGGGCAGCAGCTTCTGGACTTAGGGGCGGCAGGTTCTGGGCTTGGGTGCAGTTTGCGCTCGACTTTCTGGTGAGAAGGGGCGGCAAATATGCATGCTTCCACGGGCATTGAATGAGCGCATGAGGTCGGGGAGAGGCAGTCGGGCAGGCGCCTCCCAATCCATTACGCAGGTAGTGGCACAGACTTGTGGTGGCACAGATTGTTAGTGGGGGTTGGGGGTTGGGGTGTGTGCGCGCACGCGCCCACCGCATGTGAGGGCGATGGCCAGCCACAGGTGCCACTTGAATGCGTCCAGGAAGACGAAGTACGACACGCGGTACACGTCAGCGCTGACGAGGATGCGGTAGCCAGACCTGATGGGCGGCCGATTGGGAGTGGCATAGAGGGTAACCAGTTGACCGGGTGGTGCGTCTGAGGGTTGAGGGGGCGGTGGGCGGTGGGTTGAGCAGCAACCAGGGTGCGCTGCAGCAATGCAACGCCACTGTATCCAAGGGTCTATTGCTCCGGGGTGCGTGCGGGGGCGAAAATGCGCCGCGAGCTCCGCAGCACTTGGTGCATCACTGTTCAGTTTTGGTCCTTCAGTATGCTTGCACGATCAGCAGCGCGACCAGAGGGTGGGCGTGGGCTCCACAACGAACCATTTTGCCAAAGCACACCTCAACGAGATGACAAGTGCACAAGCAGCTGAACCATGCAGCAGCAGACCTGATGGTGGTGACTGTGAAGACGTAGCCCTTGTCCAAGGTCTTGTGCGAGACCTCGACACCCCCGATCCCGATGTCGCACCTGCCTGGACAGGCGGGGGCGGAGCGCCGCAGGTGGGGCGCGGCAGGGCGGCGGCACGGGGCAGTGAGTGGCGGTGGGGCCCTCCGCGCTGTTCAACAAACATCGCGCCCGGGGCTTGAACAGCCGAGTGCGCACGCAGCCTTGCGCCCATCTGCCTGTATTTGGGGCTGGAGTTCAGTGCTCATTCCCTATGCTGTTAGAGTGAAGGCGTCTCACTTTGAGAGTCTCGGCATGATGGCCTTGAGGCAGCCTCTAACAGCGGCTGGCCCAAAACCCAATCTGGTGGGCCACGGCGCCCAGTTGTGGGCCATCACCCACCGTCACCGGCCGCGAGTGACGCCAGCACCTCGTCCCAGCCCATGCAGTTGATTGCGTAGCTACTCCAACCGACGGCGGCAGCCACCCGTCTGAATAGCGCAACATCGTACTGCGACATATACGCACAGATGTTGCGTTGTTGTGGGAGGCTTGTGTGAGTCAGGCGGTGTCGCAGGGGGCCACTTCAAATGAACGGCGCCGGGTGCGCAGGCACAGAGCGTCCACAGGGGTTCGTTGCTGCTGCGCTCCCTGAATTTTCAAAACGGGAAATTTGGTGGGGGCAAGGGGCCGCGGCGCGCAGAGGTACAAGGGAGCAAGGGAGCGAGCCGGTAGGTGCGTGGTGGCTGGCCGCACCCCGTCCATCTCCGCTTGGGTCCTGTTGATGCACCACACAACTGAGGGTCGATGCGCGTAGGGGGCAGGCATCAGTCAGCAGTTGAAGCAGCGGGGCTCGGCCGGCGTGGGCGTGGCGG